GTCAGCTGACAGCCTTATGGGAGCTCCTTTGCAAGTAACAGATTGCTTTTCTCTTGCTACATTTAAGATTCTCTCTTTGTCTTGAATTTTTCGCATTTTAATTATGATGTGTCTGGGTGTGGGCCTCTTTGGGTTCTTCTTGTTTGGGACTTTCTGTGCCTCCTGAACATGTGTGACTTTTTCCTTGACCAGATTAGGGAAGTTTTGTGTTATTATTTCTTCAAACAGGTTTTCTAACCCTTGCTTACTTTCAACCTCTCCTGGCACTCCTATGATGCAAATATTGTTGCATTTCATGTTGTCCCACAGCTCCCTTAGACTGTCCTCCTGTTTTTTAATTGTTTTTTCTTTCTGGATCTCTGATTGAGTGATTTCTTCTACCCTGTCTTCTAATTTGCTGATACAATCCTCAACTTCTTCTAATCTTCTGTTTATTCCCTCCAGTGTATTCTTTATTTTTGCTATGTCATTCTTCATTTCCTTCATAGTTTCCATATCTTTTTTCATGCTGTTGAGCATTCTTACAACCAGTATTCTGAACTCTGTGTAAGAAGGAAATAATCTTTTCTGTCAAAGGGATTAGAATAGGCCAAACTGAATAAACGATCACCTTAACATCCTCCATTTTGTACTCAATACATATGTGCCCAATTGTTCAACCCAAGGGTACACCCCGCACATGCATTTTCTAAATTAGCTAGTCCATTTAGATTGTGAAGCCATACCCTAACCAATAGAGTATGGTGCAGTGGAATTCACCTTAGGGATAAAAACTGAAGGGACTTCCCATTTGGTGTGTTTGCTTTCCTAACTTGGAGAGCTCTGCATCCTTCTGCAGAAGTAAAGTTTTCCTTGCCGAGTTACTTTCAATTTCTTGTGTCTTTATTTGTGATATGGTTGAAACCTATTCCCAACATCTGTATCTGATAGATTGCTTATCTCTGTTTCACTTAGCTCTTTTTCTGGAGACTTCTCTTGTTCTTTCATTTGGGGCTTGTTTTTTTGTCTCCCCATTTTGGCTGCCTATTTGGGTTTGTTTCTATGTGTTAAGTAGGCCTGCTAGGACTCTCAGTCTTTTGGGAAAGTCTCTGGTGCAGGCCAATGTCAGATGCTATTTGTGACTGGTCTTGAGTACCCTGTTTAGAGCTATCAACAACTCCTTACTTGAGGTCCTCTGTGTTGGGGCTCGGCGTGTTTGGACAGGACCAAGATTCACACCAAAGTCTGCTTTTCCAAGGCTCAGGTCCAGAAGCAGATCAAGCAAAGACTCAAAGCACTCTGAAGTCTGCCTCTGCTTGCAGGTTGATTAATCTGATTCTTTTAATGAGCCTCAGGCTGTAGAAACTCCATGGGGTAGGGGGAGAGGTTTTTCCAGCAGGGTGGGGCAATTGCTTCACCCTCAGGTAAAAGCTGATTGGAAGGTAAATGTCTGCCTCTGCAGTATGGGGGAATGACTCTGCACTGGAATCCAAAGGAGTGCCCTCTGAGCTCTATCTCTAGAGCCCACAACCCTAGATTCTCCTCACACAGCTCCAGTCCACTCTGCCCTCTATCTGCTGGAGCCCAAGGTGAGTGGCTGCACACAAAACTTTGTGTTGGCTCTTTAAGAGGGCACCTGCATTTCCATCTGTATCTCCCTGGCAGATAGAAACCTGGCTGCTTTTCACAGCCAGATGTTATATGGGTACCTTTCTCAGTTCTGGTGCTCTGGGCTGGGGAGTCCCGCCAGGGGTTTAGGCCCCAGAGTTCTCAGTGGGAACCCTCCCTCTGGACCGTCAGCTGCTGCCTGTGGGAGCCTGGCCAGCCCTCTCATGCCTCCGCACTTTCTATCAGCCTCTGTGGGGTCTCCACTTTTCCTCATTGGTTATGAGGGTGTTCTCTATCTCATCTTCAGTTGCTGTTGATTGTTCAGGATGGTTTTTCTATATTTTAGTTGTAATTCCAGTTTGGTCCTGGGAGAGTGTCAGTGTAGCTTCCACTCAGTTTGCTTCCATCTTTTTCTCACCTACCCCCTTTTTAAGGTACTCAGAAAAATAGCAAATAAGTTTTTATTAAACATTTAAAAAATACAGCAGATTTTGTGGCAACTTACAAATAAATTGATACTTTGAATCTAAAAAACAATATAACCAAAAATCCATTTCCAATTGCAAAGCAATTAATTACCCTTTGTTTAGGAGTGGTTCAGATGAATGCATAATTTATTTTATTTTTTTAATCCTCACTCCAGGATATGCTTCCACCGATTTTTGAGGGGGCAGGGAAGAGAGAAGGGGGAGAGAAACATTGACACTAGAGAGGAACATCAATCAGTTACCTTCTCCCGTACACACCCTGGCTGGGAATTGAACTGGAGACCTTTTTGGTCTATGCTTCAATGCTCCACCCAACTGAGCCACCCTGTCAGGGCTGCATAATTTTGTTTTTAAGAAAAAGTTGACTGCTACAATTAGATACATAACCACTTAGTTATATATAAGTTCTGTTAAAAAAATTCTTTTAAAGAATCCAATTTAAACATCTTATTCTTTTCTCTAGTGATTTTCTCCAAGAAGTAGAAGTATGGAAGGACAGAACTCAGGAAACTATTTGACCACACCCAGATCATACTGACATCTACAATATAGGCCTCTCCAGGGGAGCCCAGCTTCAATTTGTGAAGAAAGCCCAGTTCAGAATGTAACAACGAGATAGTAATTCATGATAGTGCTAATCATTATACAAAATTAACAACTTTAGGTATCTTTGTTTTGGGTTTCTGTGTTTTAGGCACATACTAAATTTCTTCATAGTCTGTATTCATTCCCTTTGCCCAGCGACCTACTGTAAGCATTTGATCTGAATTCTGACTTTGAGGACAATCCTTAAAATGTCCCACAGAGCCCTAGCCGGTTTTGCTCAGTGGTTAGAGCATTGGCCCTTGGACTGAAGGGTCCCAGGTTTGATTCTGGCCAAGGGCACATACCTCAGTTGTAGGCTGTATCCCCAGTGCTGGTCATAGCATGTGTGGGAGACAATCAACCGATGTTTCTCTCTCTCTCTCTCTCTCTCTCTCCTCCACTCTCTCAGAAAAGCAATGGAAAAAGAATATCCTCACCTGGCCAGGTATGGCTCAGTGGTTGAGCATTGACCTATAGATCCAGGAGATTGATGTTCGATTCCCAGTCAGGGCACATGCCCAGGCTGCAGGTTCGATCCCCAATGACTCTCTCATCATTGATGTTTCTGTCTGTCTCTCTCTCCCTCTCCTTTCCTCTCTCTGAAATCAATAAAGATATATTAAAAAAA